AGATGGAAGCGAAATCGCAAACGAACTTGCACAGGAAGGAGTTGAACTGACAGAACAGAACAGAAACCTCCTAGTCACTTTAAGAACACACCAAAGGGAGTTGAAGAGGCGGGCGGACGTACTAGCAAAAAGCAGGTGAAGAGGAAACTCCTACTTCGCCCCTACGTAATGCATCAATCCCGAAAAAATCAAATTTCTTTATCATAAAGCATATATAGCCATACAAATGATCGGAAAATTATTAAAAACAAAAAAAAATATAACTGTTCTTTGTTTTCAACAAATTTTCATCAAATTTGAGATGTAGCCCATTTTTATGATTCTACAATTTTGTGTTTCTTATTTTTATTTTATGAAAATTGGACTACTATATTATATAGCTGCCATAGGAACGATCGTTAGATATAGGGGAAAAATGCAAAACTGTGAATGTAAAACTGTTAATGTAATTTGTTTAGGTGAATAAAATGGAAGCAGGCATTACTTTATTGTTATCGTATTCATTACATACACTCAACAGAAAAAGTGTGCGTACAAACTTAACGCGCAACTTTAATGTTAAATAAAAATAGTTGTATGGAAGATATTGTGTTCGTTTTTTTTTAATTTAACGACACATCAATTATTAAAAATTATAGCCAGTCTTAATTTATTTCCGTCCACAACTTTTTTAATTAAAAATAAAAAACAAAAAAAAACCCATGTTTTCGGGAAAGAAAAAGTGTGTGTACAAAATTCAATTAAGTAAAAAAAAAAACATTTATTGTTAAGGCATTGATGAAATTAGTAAAAAGTAGGATACCCATTTCTATCTATTGTCTCATTTAAGCGTTTTGGAATTGAATAACCCAATTTTTTGGTGAATTCAGGTTGTATTTTACTCCACTTATCCAAAATCACATCCTTCAACGTATCCTTCGATGTAATTGTTCGAAGACGAATTCATAATGAAATTATTGATGAATCATAGATTAATTGTTGATGAATTTTTATTGATGACAGCCTAGGACTTGGCCTTGTTAAATAAATCAACAGTTTGTATGAAAAATCAACAGCACCCCTTCTGACTGTTGATGAAACGTTGATGAATTACTGATGACAGGTACGCAGGTTACGCTCTCATTTATTGATAGCAGGGAAAGCACTATTGTCGTTGGAATCAAAAAATAGCCTCATATTGCATAACGAATGTATGGTCGTAAATCATCTTACTCTAAAGTCTTTGGTTTTTCCTTCTCCCGACCGTTCATTATATTATATATACATTACAATATATTATATTTATTATAATACATAGCAACCCTTACTATACCGCCGCTGTTCTCGTAGGTGTCTGTCCTTTATAGATTAATATAAAAGACAGTTCCCAAAAAAGCATCCACCATCCGTTAAAAGAAGAGTCCTAAAAACTTTTCCGTTCCTGAAATATCTTACTCTTTTCGCAATCTTAATTTGACGGACTTTTTCCCCGATAGTTATTTGATGATATCTTATAAAAACTCAGAATTGTTTTTATTATTAGAAAAAAAATTTGTATTCACCACGGATATATATAATATATAATTAGGAAGACCAATTGATATGTATAACAAACTTGTATAATTAATCACTGTTTTTGGTTTATACTCCATAATAGGAACCTTACAGAATAAACAAATACAAACATTCTAATTTATTATAAAGTAGGCTAATTTGCCAATAAGTTAAAATCAGTAAATTTTTTGTGAAAAAGAAAGGAAAATAGTTTAGAACAGCTGTACGTGAGAAACTGTACGAAGTCGCGAAATCAAAGTACTAATAAGTTGTTTGTTAGTGTAATATTAAATATTAACAACCAAATACTCTATAGTGGAATTTAGCAAATATGTTATTACTAGCTGTACCCTGCCACGTTTCTCTGTGGCATATTGTGGTTAAGAGGGCACTTCTGAATACATCAAGGTTGTGGCAAAAGCATCTTCCTGGCATAAGGTGAAGAGGGCAGTCAGAATTATCGTAGGCGGATTCAGGACTCTTTCTTGCACATTTAGTTCTGTGAAATAGACACGTTGACCATTCTCCAAATTGACTGCCAAGTGAACTACAGCTGGATAGCGTTCATGAATTGGGAACGAAAAAATTCGCCATGCAGCCTCGTTGCTGCTTATGTATCTTCCAGCCTGGTATTGAGAGATTTCATCGACAACTCGTACTGCATTGGTGTCTGCCTGAACACCAAAAACTGCCATATCGCTGCCTTTATTCACTCACTTGCAGTTATATTTAATCGATTTCACGGAATTGCAATATTCTACGTTGATGTGCGCTATGTATGATTTTGACAATAGTGGTGAGTATGGAAACACCCAACGATTGTCTACCTCAATATCACCAATTCTCATGTTTAAAGTTGCCGAAGTCCCTCCATCTTCAGTTGACCGTCTCCTATACAGAGGATATCCATCGTCCCCTGTTACGGTGTTGGCTGTAAATGCTCGAGGATATCGCTTGGAACACTTCCACAAGGGCCATGGATTATGTTCTTGATGACAACTTCATGCAAATCCGTATCAACCTCGGCCCGTGGGATCTCAGCGCATATAACATCGTCGATTTCGTCTGGAGTAAATTTATCATACAGCCAAATCAGTATGTGCGCAAGCGGCAATCCTCTCTTCTGCCATTCTACTGAATACATCCAGAACCGCACAGATCCAAAAACTCCATGTTTCACAATGAAATCCATCAGTGACTTGAGCTGTTGTCTGAAAACACGGCCTGTGATGTTATGCCTATCCTAGACGATTGTCCAGGAAATAACAGCTGCACTATCTCGTACCAAACTGGATTGCATGTAAAGGTGATAAATAAATCTGGACGGCCATAGCAACGAACATATGCCATGGCATCTTGAGCATATTCATGCATGTGGCGTGGACTACCTATGTATGAGGATGGCAAAATCGTGAGCTTTCCAACGTTGGTTGTATTACGGTCATTCATCACAGCATCCCGCAAATGGATATATTCCTCGGACCGAAGTTTCGTCTGATTCAATCGAAGGAGCCTGACAGTATATGCAGACCTGATGCATCCGGCCAATAACGACATTGCGATTCGAGCTGTAATCAACAGTTGGATTATATCTGAATGCAAGACGATTGTATTGCAGGTTTTGATCTGCTGCAAGCTGTAAACGCGCTTCAGCTACCCTTGCCCTGTCGCGTTCATTATTTTGAGAGTGAATCAAATCGATTGCTGCTGAACGCGACTGCCTAACTCTCAATCGTTTTCTCTCAAGCCTATCTGCTCGACTTTCTGCTGATTCCTCGTTGTGCATCTGCATTGCTTTCAGCCGCTCAGTCTCTCGGATGGAGGCCCGTTCTTCGTCAGTCATATTCGTAATCTTACGTCTTTTTGCTTCTGTATTGCGAATACGACGACCCAATCTCGACTTCTTTGGTGGCATGACTTCGTTTCTTACTGAACCTGAACAAAAAATAAAATTTGTATCTCCAATTTCTTCTTTCAATATGTTTTGAACGTTTGACAGGAAATGCTTTGATTCAGCTGGCTGCCTGTAGAGGGCGCAGCAGTAGGGGCACGGGGAAACGCGAAAAAAGTGATATATTCCCAAATGCAGATAAGCTATCAACATCAAAAGTAGACAATAACCGAGCTGGAACCTCAACGCATGTTCTCTAAAAATTTGGGCTTAAACGGTTCAGAACTTTTCAAGTTTCTTCTTTCAATATGTTTTGAATGTTTGACAGGAAATGCTTTGATTCAGCTGGCTGCCTGTAGAGGGCGCAGCAGTAGGGGCACGGGGAAACGCGAAAAAAGTGATATATTCCCAAATGCAGATAAGCTATCAACATCAATAGTAGACAATAACCGAGCTGGAACCTCAACGCATGTTCTCTAAAAATTTGGGCTTAAACGGTTCAGAACTTTTCAAGTTTCTTCTTTCAATATGTTTTGAATGTTTGACAGGAAATGCTTCGATTCAGCTGGCTGCCTGTAGAGGGCGCAGCAGTAGGGGCACGGGGAAACGCTAAAAAAATTGATATATTCGCAACCGCAGATAAGCTATCAACATCAAAAGTAGACAATAACCGAGCTGGAACCTCAACACATGTTGTGTAAAAATTTGAGCTTAAACGGTTCAGAACCTTTCAAGTCTATAAAGGAAGTAGACACGAACAGAGCATTTTTATAGATATAGATTATTATATTCATGTGTAAAAAGTAGTGGAACTCGAACTAAAAAAGAAGCTGTCCATCAGCTCCAAAGCTCTCCTTGTCGTTCTCTTCTTGATGCACCCGCCTGAGTCTGTTCAACTTGCTTGCCAATCGCTTAGGGGCAAATATTACAGAAAAATATTAGAATCAATTGTATAATATGACTTAAGTAATAGAGCCGCCATTAGAAAAGTATGCTCCCAACAATTGCCCTCAAGCCAATCACCATATTAAGAGCGGTGACAATTTGAAAGGATAAATCTTATCTTCTGCAAAACAGTTGTAGCATTATATATCCCTAACGGATATTGGATGACGGAAAATAAAGTTTCACAAATGTCTAAATAGTTGTTTATATTTTTTTGAGGACCATATTAAAAAAAAAATCGGGTATAAACATTTTGATTTAAATATTCTAATCCATTTTCTTAGACTCAAGCTTTTATGCCCAGCATTACTCTTATTTTGTTTTGTGTCCAGATCTACAAGAAACGCATTAGAGAAAAGTAATTAGTAATTGTTCCTGGAAGTAAAAAAAGCAAATCCATTAGTTTTGTTGAAAATTCGGCTGTGTTATGAGAGAAGATGTTAAAATACTTCAAAGTTATTTATTTAAGTTACGGTAAAATAAAGAACATATCCTCTATGAAAACTACCTTAAAAATTTTCATGTTTTTAATTCTCAATCATACTTTACTAATATCAAAATTAAACGAAGATTTTTGCAAATATTAATCGATATCATATGGAATTCTCTTGTTGTAAATAGGTCTGTCGATCATCATTAATCGAATTTTCCTTACAAGTTCAAAAGTTAGATAAAAGTAAATGTAAGTAAGTTTTTGCTATCTTTTATTATTTTACTAATATTTAAATCAAAAAAAGGTTATAATTGTTTTTGTTGTTTTAATATAATGTAGTTTTGTAATTTTATATATGAAATTTTGAACATGTGCATATTCTATTACAAATATACGAAAGTCCAGGACCTTGAATTCTTAAATAACTCGCTGAGTGGATCTCGTCAAGCGGCGAGAGGAAGTCTCTGGCCGGTTATGCTACTATTCAGTAGTATCAAATACATACGACGATCTCAGTCAAGAATCGTGCCATTACCCTGCAGTACCTGTCATCATTACTTCATCAACGTTTCATCAACAGTCTAGGGGGTGCTGTTGACGATTCATCGATGACAGGCCATACAAACTGTTGATGAATTTAACACGGTCATGTCCTAGAATATCATCAATTAAAATTCATCAACAATTAATCGATGATTAATCAACAATTCATAAACAATTCATCATCGATGTTTCATCAACTAATTTCTCAACGGCCGGGAAATGGTACTGCCAACGACTGCCGTCTAGACTACCGCCGTAACTGTATCGCGGGCAGAGCGTCTTAGTAGAAGTCGCAGTCGGCAGTGCGTCGACTCGGTAGAAGTCGCAGTCGGCAGAGCGTCGCCTCGATCGCAGTCGCAGTCGGCGCGTTGATGTTGATGACACGCGGTACTGCAGGGTACCGACTATCTCACACGTTGATAAAAAAAACTACGAAACTCATAGGTTGCCATATGTAATCGGCATAAACTTAGATTATCTGGCACTCTCCCTTTTTCAATAATTTAAGCCCAATAATATAATACCCATCCCCTTTCTTATTTGCATTTTAACTTTTAAAGGAATAAGAAGTAAGATACATTCAGTTTGTCAAGTAATTCTTTGCAAAACGAAAAATCCCTCACAATTTTGGGTTTAAACTGAAAATTTATTGACAAATACAAGAATTTAAAAAAATTTTTTTTATAATATTATTAGGATAACTTTAATCTATAAATATAAAAACAAAACTTAAATATTTTAACTTAAAACATAGTCAGAAATAACAAAAACAAAAACATTGCAATTCGTATGCTGTCAATTAATTCTTTGCAATTTGCAAAGACGTTATAGTTTACCAAGGATAACTTAAAAACTATAATAGCTGCGGCGTTAATATTTTATGTGGAGTCCATTTGCATCTATTACAGCATGGAGGCGTCGCGACATTGGCATTATTAGCCCCTTCGAATCGTAATATTCTGGAATTTTCTCCCATTTCTCCTGTATTACTTTAATTAAACCCTTTTTATTTGTTGGAGTCCGTTTAGTCACTTTCTTTTCCAAAAAATCCCAACAATTTTCTATATATATTTATATCTGGGCTTTCCGCAGGAGTGTCAATGACTTTTTTGCAATTAACAGGAGCCAGGTCCTGCACAGCTGCGATTTGAGCTGGAGTTCGTTTTCCTGGTGCAGTTAATATTTATTTCTTTTTGGACAAGTTACGTCATGCAGACCAAATTTCTCCGCGCTTCTGGACAATTCCTTTTTAAGGATGTCCAAATAAAACTCCTTCGTCATTATATCATTGAAAATCCGCAGCTCACCAACTCCCTTGGATGATATGCACCCCCTTATCATCACAGAAAACTTGCCAAATTTGAATGTTGGTATGATATTCTTCGGCTGGACACCTGTGTTTGGTTTCCTCCAAACTTTATTGGGTCAGCCATGAGTGTATAGAATTATTTTAGTCTCGTCACAAAAAAAAGCTTCATCCCCATACTCAGGAGGCTGGTTAACGTGGCCGATAGAGAAATTAAATCGCCTTTCAATATTTATAGCTGAAAGCATTGGTTTCTTCCTGGCAATGTGTGAGGAGTATTTGTGGAGATTCAGGACTTTCCTCACAGTCTCATAGAAACCTGTTTTTCTGCAATAATTTTATAAGTCCAAAGAATTAATTGACAGCATACGAATTGCAATGTTTTTGTTTTTGTTATTTATTACTATGTTTTAAGATAAAATATTTAAGTTTTGTTTTTATATTTATAGATTAACGTTATCCTAATAATATTATAAAAGAAAATTTAAAAAAAATTCTTGTATTTGTCAATAAATTTTCAGTTTAAACCCAAAATTGTGAGGGATTTTTCGTTTTGCAAGAATTACTTGACAAACTGTATGTATATACATTCACTACCCAGGAAAAGTGTGCGTACAAACTGACCGCGCAACTTTAATGTTTAATAAAAATAGTTGTATGGACGATGTTGACTTCATTCTACCCTTGCAGGGTATTATAATTTCAGTCAGAAGTTTGCAACGCAGTGAAGGAGGCACCTCCGACTATATAAAGTATATATATTCTTGATCAGGATCAACAGCTGAGTCGATCTAGCCATGTCCGTCTGTCCGTCTGTCCTTCTGTCCGTCTGTCCGTTTCTACGCAAACTAGTCTCTCAGTTTTGAAGCTATCTGAATGAAACTTTGCAGTTAGTCTTTTATATACTCTCACTCGTATATATGTCGGAACGGGCCGGATCGGACGACTATATCATATAGCTGTCATAGGAATAATCGGAAAAGTTTTACAAAAAAAATTATAACATTTTTAGTTTTCAACAGAATTTAATCAAATTTGAGATATAGCCATTTCATATTATTCTACAATTTTGTGTAAAATTTTATGAAAATCGAACGACTATATCATATAGCTCCCATAGGAACGATCGAGAAATTAATTCAATTAATAAGTATAACATTTTCAGTTTTCAACAGATTTTCATCAAATTTGAGATATAGCCGTTTCATATTATTCTACAATTTTGTGTAAAATTTTATGAAAATTGGACTAATATATCATATAGCTCCCATAGGAACGATCGAGAAATTTGAGAGGAATGAGAATGGCGGTGGCTGTTGTCGGAAGACTGACAATCTCGGACGACTATATCATATAGGTGCCATACAAACGATCGTAGATGTAGAGGAAAAATGCAAATCTGTGAATGTAAAACTGCAAATATAATATGTATAGGTGAATGAAATGAAAGCAGGTATTACTTCATTGTTTTTTAACACAAATATATATAATTTATATTGTATGGATTCCTATTCATAGAAGTTCTATCTGCAAGGGTATATAAACTTCGGCGTGCCGAAGTTAGCTTCCTTTCTTGTTTTTTTTTTTAAATTACCGACACATCTATTATTAAAAATTATTATTATTCAATGCCAAAACGCTTGAATGAGACAATAGACATAAAGGGGTATCCTACTTCTTACTAATTTAATTAATATCATACCAATAAATGTTTTTAATACGCTTTTATTAGTTCGGGATGTATGTATGTATGTAACGGAATCTTTGAACACTATTTTCAAGAGTTTCCAAATATATAAGCTTGAAACTTTGCATACTTCTCAATGAAAAAATCCCATGCAACACGAAGGCCTTAAATGAAATCATGAGATTACGAAATAGTTCGTAAGATATTTCATAATTACATGCCCGCAAAAACTGATTATTGATATATCGAACTAAAATATGAAAAATAACTTAGAAAATTAAAAAAATACGCATTTATAAGTACCCACACTAAAAAATATAAAATAAATCATAGTTAAAAAAAATAAAAAAACACGCTTTTATAAATAACCGAACTAAAAAGAAGAAAATAATTTATAACTACAAACAAAATTATTGAATTCAGAGCAATAGTATATAATTATAAACAAGATCACTAAATTCAGAGTTAATCAATGGTACAATTATTCTAAGGGCAACTACCTGTAAGGGGAAAATTTTGAATGTATAGAAAAATCCTACAAATAACAGTTTCACTGTCCAATGCTTTGCCAAGTACATGTTTAAATATTGTTCAAACAATGATAAATGTATTTCTGTGAACATAAAATATAAAAGAAAATGTTTGATAGTTACAAAAAATTATTAGATTAACAAAAACAGTGCAGCTGTAGAGTATCTCGTCACGCATGTATTTAAACGTTGTGCTTAATGACAGCATTATATAACATATATCAGTCAAATGACTCTGAATTTAGTGATCTTGTTTATAATTATATACTAATGCTCTAAATTTAATAATTTTGTTTGTAATTATAAATTATTTTCTTCTTTTTAGTTTGGTTATTTATAAAAGCGTGTTTTTATACCCTTGCAGGGTATTATAATTTCAGTCAGAAGTTTGCAACGCAGTGAAGGAGGCACCTCCGACTATATAAAGTATATATATTCTTGATCAGGATCAACAGCCGAGTCGATCTAGCCATGTCCGTCTGTCCTTCTGTCCGTCTGTCCGTTTCTACGCAAACTAGTCTCTCAGTTTTGAAGCTATCTGAATGAAACTTTGTAGTTAGCCTTCTATATACTCTCACTCGTATATATGTCGGAACGGGCCGGATCGGACGACTATATCATATAGCTGCCATTGGAATGATCGGAAAATGTTTACAAAAAAAAATTTAACTTTTTCAGTTTTCAATGGAATTGGATCAAATTTGAGATATAGCCATTTTACTATACTCTACAATTTTGTATAAAATTTTATGAAAATCGGACCACTATATCATATAGCTACCATAGGAACGATCGAGAAATTAATACAATTAAATTTATAACTTTTTCAGTTTTCAGCTGATTTTCATCAAATTTGAGGTATAGCCATTTTGTATTAGTCTGAAATTATGTGTCAAATTTCATGAAAATCGGACGACTATGTTATATAGGTGCCATACAAACGATTGTTTGATGTGGAGGAAAAATGCAAATCTGCGAATGTAAAACTGCAAATATAATATGTATAGGTGAATGAAATGAAAGCAGGTATTACTTCATTTTTTTTTAACACAAATAAATATAATTTATATTGTTGAGATTCCAAGTCATAGAAGTTCTATCTGCAAGGGTATATAAACTTCGGCGTGCCGAAGTTAGCTTCCTTTCTTGTTTTAAACTATTATTTATTTTAACTTAATTGAAG